AACTAGGGTGACAAATAACCAGACTCTCCCTAGAGGATGAGAGAGGAAGGAAAGGTTGTTTATTTTGGCAGAGTTTACTGGGTGGGAGAAATGAGGCAGGCTGTGAACACTCACATGTAAATAATCTGTGTTTCTAACATACTCAGGGAATGTTCTACTTGCTCTCTACTTGTATGTTCCACAGAGCACCTTTGGCTCAACCTGACTAAAATTTGACCTTATTATCTTTGGTCCACACTTGCTTCTCCTCTAGTGCCCTTTATGTTTGTAAAGTACCGATCATGTTCCTACTTGCCCATTCTCGACACCTGATCATCCTTCAATCCTTCCTCTCTTCAGCCTTCATGTTCTATCCCGGTTCCCATTAGCCTCGGTACTAAATATGTACTTCTGGAGTCTCTCCATTTTACTCCATTGCCTCTACGGTCACTGTATCCATTTCTCCCTTGCAAATTGTTTTTCTGTACTGCAACCAGAATGACTTTTTAAAAATTTTTTTTAGATTTTTTTTATTTATTTCTAGGAGAGAGAGAGAGAGAGACAGCATGAGCAGGGGAGGGTCAGAGAGAGAGGGAGTCACAGACTCTGAAACAGGCTCCAGGCTCTGAGCTGGCAGTCAGCACAGAGCCTGACGCGGGGCTCGAACCCACGAACCATGAGATCATGACCTGAGTGAAAGTCGGACACTTAACCGACTAAGCCACCCGGGTGCCCCCAGAATGACTTTTTAAAAACACGAATCTAATTATGCCGTTTCTTCCATCATACTGTTTAAAGGCTTCTGAATACCAAGACCTTAATGTGTCTACTAAGATCTTGTATAGTCAGGTTGGTCACTGTGTGTCTAGAAATAGTCTTCCCTATTGAGGCTCCTGGCTGGCTCATTTGGTTAAGTGTCTGACCTTGGCTCAGGTCATGATCTCACAGTTCATGAGTTTGAGCCCCACCTTGGGTTCTCTGCTGTCAGCACAGAGCCTGCTTCTGCTCCTCTGTCTCCGTCTGTCTCTGCCCCTTTCCTGCTAGTTCTCTCCCTCTGTCTCGAAGTAAATAAACTTTAAAAAAAAAAAAAAAAAAGAAATTGTCCCCCTCCTGTAACAGGATACATTTCCTTTTGCCTCAAGGCCTTAGCTGGCCTGACTATCTAAAGTGTGTGTCACTTTTCCCACATTCTCCTCAAGCTCTAGCTTACTCATTCACCTAATCTCTGCTTAAATATGAACTTCTCATCCAAGAACTCTCTGACTCCTCAGGCTGGAGTCCTTTTCCTCTGAGTCCTTCATCGTCCGTTTGCTATGAGCTCATGTTGCTCACTCTTCCCCTTTGGTGAGACCCATCACACTTGACATCTAATTACTTGTTCAAACACATGATGCCTGGCAGATGCTAGGCTCCATGAGGACATGTCTCTCCTACAGCACCGTGTCCCCAGTGTTGAGTACAGAGCCTAGCTCAGATCAGATACGTGATGAGCATATCCAAGTGATGGATACTTGCTTCCGTGATCTGGGCTCTACCAGCCTCACCTCTCCACAAATACTCTGCTTCCTATTTTTTATTTACCTCTGAGAAAATCTCATGTCATGTCATATTTTTTAAGCCCATGTCCTTCTCTGCAGAAGTGTCTACCCAGCCTCTCTGAGCTGGCATCTAATCACTGTCAGCATACAGCAGTTGTCAGAATCACAGGATGGAGCCCAGTGTGTAGCTGTACTGTGACCCTTATTTTGAAATTATTCAATGGATGTTTATGTGAGTAGAGCTTGTGTGTAGCTTCTTTTATAACAGAGACCCTGTTTTGTTGACTTATATTCATCCTGATAATGTTAGCACCTAAAACAAGTCAAACTAAATAAAAAAGAGTTAGAATGCCTCACAACTAGAGGTATAGTAATCATAGAAATAATTGCTAACATTATGGACTACTTTCTTTAACAAAAAATTTTTAACATGTATTATTTTTGAAAAACAGAGACAAAGTACGAGCAGAGGAGGAGCAGAGAGAGGGAGACACAGAGTCTGAAGCAGACTCCAGGCTCTGAGCTGTCAGCACAGAATCTGACATGGAACTTGAACCCACAAACCATAAGATCATGCCCTGAGCTGAAGTTGGATGCTTAACCGACTGAGCCACCCAGGTGCCCCCATTATGGACTGTCTTCTATATGCCACACACAATTTTAAGTACTCTATGAACTCATTGAATATCAGCTCCTGTGAAAGAATTACTTTTATTCTTCCCATTATGTAGATAGGCTGGAAACCCCAAAAAGGTTACTTTGTCCAGACTTAACCAGCTGGCGAGTGTCAAAGCTAGAATTTAAACCTGCTGGTTCCAGAGCCTACTCTCATTTGTTGTGGCCAGATGGTAGAGTAGAGCTTTTAAAGTTGGCTTGTGGAATGTCTGTCTGCTTCAAATTCTGATTCCTCCACTTATTCATCATGTGACCTGGGTAAGGTCCTTCTTTGCAAAATGGGGATATTGTCCTTTATAGAGATGTTTTGAGGATTAAATAAAATAATCAGTCCTTGTGAAATATTGAAGATAGGCCATTGTAACACTGTTTAGTCAATGTGAGCAATTATTGGACACATCTTTTGGGGTTCTTTCCAATTCTAAATCCATTGAGTCTGTCTTTTTATAATTCCTCAGTCTTTTCTCTTTGCCATTCCCTGTTACTTTTCAAGGTTCTGGCGTTTATTTTTAATAATAAATCCTTATAAGGGCCCAAGGACATCCTTGCATTTCTATCAAGTAAAATCTATGGGCTATGTGACAAGCCTGTGCTGCCTAAAACCACAGTCCTGACTTCCCATGGTTAAATCTGTGGCTACATGGCTCAGTGAAGATGTCTGGCTGAAGAGAGCAAAAGAATTCCTGTTTAAAGCCAGATCAAAGCCGGAAAAGAAATCTGGACTATTAAGTTTATTGAGATGTTCTAATTGTAAAAGAACTAAAAAGAATATACAATTAACTTGTCAACATGTGCATCAAATGTTTCCTCTTTCCAAGTTAGATGAAAGCCAATTTAGTCTGATTTGTGCTATTAAATTGATTAGCAGTCAGATGGAAACTTTCAGCTGTTTAGGTGATGATTTAATTTTAAAGACTATAGTTGTTCTACTAACATATGCTTATTTTATGAAACTCTTAAAATCTTAAGATTCTTTTCATGTGTATTTGTATATATTGACAGATGCTACAGCAGCAAATAATACTGGTGGAAACTACAGAGTGTAGAGTTCAGAGATTTAATGGTCTGACCCATGTGCAGAGTTATTACTAGCAGTTATTCATTAGTACAGAAGCAGATATATTATGCAGATCTGATCTATCCATTTATTTGCTTGGGACAGAGATGGAGCAAAGCAAATAAAGATGTGGCAAAACATATGTTTAAATAGATGGAATTTGAGACTGGTGGCATCAGGAGGGAATTTAGTTCACAGAACAAATAGCATGAAGTCCAAAACGCTTGGTAGAGGTGGGTCTCTCTGACTGACTAAAGAGGGAAATAAAAGACAGCTATGTGATTTATAGTGCCCATAAGCACAGATCAGTTGTTGAGAGGCACAATTATTGTAGGTTTCTTCGTACTACTACCTTCAATAAAGGCTATTTGTTGGCATTATAAAGATTAATTCATTAAAAGCAGTTTCTTCTTCATGAATGTGTTAATGCAGCCCATTGGTGTTCTGGCTTAATCTAGAGATCAATTTATAGTATCTACAGATATAAAAATATTACATTTTCTTATATAACCCTTTTTTTTACCCACTTACCTTTGTGAGTAATGATTAGATGTTAGTTTTGGGCTAAATAATCAGACATACCTAGAAATTGGAAGTGCCTACAGGACCAAGATTTTCTTTTAAGTAATAATTTTGGATTAGCTCAAATTTGGATTAGCTCACCTAATGGTGAGCATCAGAAATGGTTGGAGGATTTTTAAAAGACAGACTCAGGTGTCTGGGTGGCTTGGTTGAATGTTCGACTCTGGATTTTGACTTAAGTCATGATCCCAGGATTGTGGGATCGAGCCCTGCATTGGGATCAGTGCTGAGCATGGAACCTGCTTGAGATTCTCTCTCCCTCTCTTTTTTTCTCTCTCTCTCCATCCCTTTCCCCAAATCTCTCTCTCTCTAAAAAAATTAAATTAAAAATTAAAAAAAGAAATAAAGTCTTAAGAGCCATCTCCCATCTCTGCCGTTTTGTACTTAGTAGGTACAAGATGGGTGAGGTGAGAGTATCTTCATTTTTTTTTTTAAAAAAAAGGTCATATAAGTGATTTAGTGATCAGTGAAGCTCTAGAACTACTACTGTAGATTGTGCTGCTTTAATTTTAGGTAGAAACAAATTTTAAGCAGATATAACTAAATACACCTTAACCATAAGCCATCTATTTTATGGTTAAGATCATATGTTCTTGAGGACTGTAAATTTCCAAAGTATTGTCCATAACAAGCTACTTCAGAAATCTCTACCTAGCCAATTGAATGGGGGTGATTTAATGTATGAATTTGTTAGTAAACCAATCAAGAGGTTTGGTGTGTGTCTACTGCAATTGATGACTTTGAATAGTTAATATGATTCTGGGATAATTTTTATTCTCACCATTGTCTGATTACATTTCCATATAGACTAAAAATATTTTGAAAACATATTCTATATAGAGAGCATTTTCTTATTTTTAGTCCACAAAACTTATAAAGCATGCTTAATATGCATTCTAAAGTTATCTGATGGCTCTAGAGGTAGTTTCATTTGTAGGCATTCACATGATAATATGAAAAATAATGTTCAGAGATTGGTGCCTCTATATATGTCTTTACTGATCTGGGGTAGTCACTAGTTAGAGACAGAATCTTTAAATATCTGGTAAGCCTTTGTTTTAAGTAGAAAACCAAGGCTATGTTTGTGTGTCTTTGTCCAGCGTCAATATTTGTAACAACAGAAATCTTGAGTAAGTGTCCTCTGTTGACTTTTTATTGTTTCTTTACAGGCATTGCCTCCATGACGGTGCCAGTGTACATCGCCGAAGTCTCACCACCCAATTTGAGAGGTCGATTAGTCACCATCAATACCCTCTTCATCACTGGAGGCCAGTTCTTTGCGAGTGTTGTTGATGGAGCCTTCAGTTATCTCCAAAAGGATGGATGGAGGTCTGTAAATTGTCCTTACATTTAATTTTCAAATCTTTTTTTAAGGAATGGGAGAAAAATGATTGAGAAATGATAGGAAAATATAACTTGGTATTTTGGATCATTATAACTATTTTATGAGTGGATGGCATTCAGCAAAATTGAAAGTGGACAAGAAGCTGATATTTATTTTAATGATAGACAAGGAGCCTACCATTGTGAATTGATATTTACAGGCTTTTTAGCATTTAGGTGACATTTCTCACACTGCGTAATCTTTTGCAATATTTGTTTAAAAATGAATGCAGCAATAAATATGTATGGAGTTCTTGAATTGTACCAGTGATTGACAAGGTGTTTATGAACTGCAGATATAACTAACACCCTTTTTGGATTGAAGAATCTACATTATGACCTGAATGAAAGAAAACTCAGTCTTTAAAGATATAGACTTAGGTATATAAAAATATGTTATTTTATATACAAATTTAAAATACACAGATTGTTCCTTGATCACTGTTTTGCTTATTTTGAATCAAAAGAGATGAGAAAAATGTTTTTAAAACTGCTTTAAGATAGTTTCAAACTGAGTATCATAGAAACAAACTAATCATCTGTTAAAGCTTAAATATAGTATAGGCCCTGGATTTTGATATCATACTTCATAGTATCCAAAACAACAGATTGATGTAGCTCCTCCAGGGAAATTTTATTAAAAGTTGCAGCAGGTTACACAGTATTCTCTAACTTAATCTCTTACCACCATGTATTACAACAAATGTTTATTGATCCTCTGCTCTGTATGGGTGTTGGGGATAGAATGTGGAATAAGACAGACCCTAGTCCTTATAGATTCGCATGGTGCTTACAGCTTTGAAGTGAATTTTAACAGCTGAAGAAAAAAGGGTTTGATGTGATGCAGATGTGGGAAATCAAGCTTCTATGTGAGAAGCACAGTAAATCATGTGCCTTGATGAGCCATTAAAGACAGACTGATGAAGTTTTATTAAAAGTTATGTGAGAAAACTCATCGATGCCAATTAGGGCCTACATTTGTCAGGACATTAAGGAGAGGACACAGTTCTTAAAAGTGTGAGCTCTTTCTGCAGATGTTGCTAAGCCACTTTCTACCTTTGAAGGAATGAATCTGTGCCAGACTGAGAAACTACTGGAAAATTGAAGAAACAGGAAATTTCATCTTTATTTTCCACTCTGTAGATGAACAGAAAGAGAGCTAATTATTACCAGCGTGAAGTGATATATTGAGGTTTTCTTGGAAACTCAGTGGAAGTTAGATTTTCAATCTCGTGTCTTTAAGCAGATCTAAATCATTTATTTACATTAAGTTAAAACAGTTACTATTGTAACAAATATGTATATGCTTTTTATTAAAAATCTGTCTTTTGGGTTTTGGTTTTTTTTTAGGTTTACAAAGAGACCTTAATTGATAAAAATCTGTTTAAGTGAAAATATATAAAGTGCATAAGCCATATTTTTTTAAAAATATTTTATTTATTTCTGAGAAAGAGAGACAGTGGGAGCAGGGGAGGGTCAGAGAGAGAGAGGGAGACACAGAATCCGAAACAGGCTCCAGGCTCTGAGCTGGCTGTCAGCAGAGAGCCCGACACGGGGCTTGAACCCACGAACTGTGAGATCATGACCTGAGCTGAAGTCGGATGCTCAACCGACTGAGCCACCCAGGCGACCCATAAGCCATATTTTTTAATTAGTATAGTAATTTAGATGTCTTTTCTCCTTACTGGTTAGGAAAAAGAGAAAGATCATACACTATTGAAAATTATTTATGAACGTGGTGTCCCTGTGTAAAAATGGGGGACTTGGGTCAGGCGTTAGAACACTTTAAGAGGCAGAGTGACACAGTCATAGACAAATTTGGATTCATATCTGTTTTCTACCTCTCATTAGCTGCAAACCTTGGACCAGTTACTTAGATCCCTGAACTTCACTCTTGCATTGTAAAAAAAAAAAAAAAAGAGAGAGAGAGAGAGAGAGAGAGACCAAAAATACTTGTCTTACTAGATTATTGTAAGATCTAAATTATATATAAAGTATTCAGCTCACTGCTTGACATATGGGAAATGATTAATAAATACTGAATCACTGAAATAATTATTTATTCTGATGAATGAATAAAAGGATGGTCCTCTCATTGGTAAGTTTTAAGTGAGGTTGAAGGAAAAGACATCCTATGATTTCTGTTTTCTTTATCAGTATAGATGAGGTTTGGAGGTGATAGGGAAGAGGCCTAGAGAAAATAAATGTTAAATGCTTATACCTGCTATAGAAAATATAAAAGACTAGAGACAAAAACAATTTTCCAAATATCCGTATATTTGCAGTGCATTTTTCCCACAATACTAGAGAACCAAGGAATAAAAAAATAAAATATGAGGATGGGAAAACTAACTTGGTCTGGTATTCAGATGAGTGCATTAACACCCCAGATCACTTAGAACTCAACTTATTGTTTGCATGAATCCACATTCACTTGGGTCCACGTGCAAACAGATTTCCTTTGTTTCAAGTGGTGAATTTTCCATATGTTATTTTCTTTCAGTATTTAGTATCCTTAGCAGTGTGTTTAACTCATCTGTCTCCTGGGCTAATAGGATTGTTGTATAAGCAAATAAAGGTTGAAGTACTGCCTTAACATCAACTTTAGATTTGTCAGCAATCATAGCTTATTTAAAATTATAACAGTTGGGGCACCTAGGTGGCTCAGTCGGTTGAGTGCCAACTCTTGATTTCAGCTCAGGTCAGGATGTCGAGGTTTGTGAAATCAAGTCCCTCTTTATTCCCACTCTATCAACACAGAGCCTGCTTGGGATTCTCTCTCTCTGCTCTCTCTGTGCCCTGCCCCTGTACATGCTCTGACGCTAAATAAATAAACATTAAGAAAAATAAAATTATAACAATAAATAATTCATTATTTTTGTGGCAGTATATTTCAAAAATCATAATTAACATGTGAGTGTAAACATTACTTGTATTATTTTTTCCATACTTATATTTTTGTATATTATAAAGTAAGATGTCCCCTTTCTTACAAGAGTTTTGATATTTTAACATTGTTTCTTTTTTTATTTCTTTTGGACTTTTATTGCCTCTGAAACTCTCCTTCAACATTTGATGTTCTGTATACCCAGTGTGCCAGATTTATTAGCTTACTTGATAGTGATGAACAGTTTTAGAGTTTGTTAGTGAATATCATTTGATCCTAACCAAAATCTCAAGAGACTGGTGGAACTGATATATTTGCAATTTGCAATTTAAAAGAGTGCTCAGAGAAGTTAAATATTTGGTTGAGGCCATATGGCTGCTACAGAGTAGTCTTTAGAACCAGTTCTTCCTTCTTGAAATCTAACCACTTTCTTTCTCATTCTACTTCCAACGGTTTATAATCTAAAATGTAGTTACTGAAATTTTCTACAGTAGTGATAAGATTAAAATATATAGAGGATGAACCTGATGAATCAGATAGAAAAACTTCTTAGCTTTTGATGTTCTTGAAAGACTAACTCATCCTTTGTACCAGATGGGTCAAACTTACAGTTATTTTATTGTTTGGATGCCATAGAATTAAATTATTTTCTACTGAACAACTGGAGGATTATTTTTCTCTAGAAAAGGGCATTGCCAGTAGAAAATCGAATGTTAGTATTTTTAAAGCACTTTAGTGTTATTCTACTTTCTTTGGTGGGAAAAAAATGTCTTCTGGCTTCATGAGGAAAGAGGAATAAGGATTTTGAAGAGATCATTAAAAATTAGAATTTTGTAAAAACAACTTTAATGAGATACTCACATACCATTCAGTTTACCCATTTAAAATATAATTCAGTGGCTTTTAGTATATTTACAGAACTGTGCGGCCATCACTGTAATCAAATGTAGAATATTTTCTTTACCCCAGAAAGAAACTTTGTACCCTTAGTTGCCATCCTTCAACCTTCCAGCTCCTCCCAGCCCTAGACAGTCAATCTACGTTTTGTCCTTATGGGTTTGCCTATAAGGGATATTTCATGTTGACTGGCTTCTTTCACTTATCATCCTTTCAAGGTTCATTCATGTAGTATGTGTATTTTATTTCTTTTTATTAGCAAATAATATGAATATATCCTTCTGTTTATCTGTCAGTTTATGGATGTTTCTGTTTTTTTTGGCTATTATAAATAATAGTCAAATACAGTGAATATTTCTGTATAGTCAGGGTAGACATATTTTTCATTCTCTTGGGTATATGCCTAGAGTGGAATTCCTAGGTCATATGGTAACTGTGTTTAGCCTTTTGAGAAACTGGCAGACTGTTCTTCAGAGTACTGTGCTGTTTTACATTTCCACTTTGTGATGTATGAGAATTCCAGTTTTCCTACATCCTAATAAGTAATTATTATCTTTTGATTATAATCATCTTAGGTGAGGGTGAAGTGGCATCTCATAGTTTTGATTTGCATTTCCCTGATGACATTCAGAAAAATTTTATTTTTACCTAATATATTACAGGGCTTATAAAGATGGCAGAGGTATTTCAGTAGTTAGCATTAATGATACCAGGTTTTATCACTGTTTGCCTTTTTCTGTGCTGATATTTTTCAGTTGCTTATTTGAACATAGATTTACTCACTACACTTCAAGCAAATGAAGGCTTCCTCTTTTTAATTGCTGAGTTCAAGCCTGGAATGTGGCAGGCCTTTGATAAATATATAATAGAGTACATTTGATAACTGCCACGACAATCATGTAAAACACTTAATCTGGGCATGCCACTGCTTAAATATTTCAGATCTGCTCCAAATTCCACAGGGAACAAAACACAAAGGTTTGTGGGGTCTTCCATTGCCCAGTCTCTGCCTGCTTTTCTAGATTTGTGGAACTTCATTGCCTCTCTCCCTTCTTCTCTATGCAACAACCATACCTGTATATCCTATACACCAAATTGCACCTTGCTTTTTCATGTTTTTGGATTTTTTTTTTCTTCTGCTCACTTTACCTCTAATGCTTTC